CGCAAAAAGTTAAATTTTACTTGAAGAAAAAAATAGCCAACAAGGGTTTATTCCTACGGGGAATAACCAAAAACCACAATTATTCACAGCAATTTTACCATAATTTTACGGTAACTGTTACTCTCCGCTTCCTCACTATCGAGATCCTTAGCTCGATACTGAGGGATTCTTTACCATCGACACCTTCGAATTTCTAATTTGTTCACGAAAATTCGCCGATAGGATTGATGCGAAATAAGTGCTGCTCGGTTTTTCGATCAACTAAATGTGCTTTGTCATAAAACCTACGGGTTGAATTAACCATTCTTACCTTGCTATCCATTTCTCAAAATAACAATCTGCGAGCCAGAATGATTACAATTCTCTGACTCTAAATGAACAATAAACGCTATATTCACACTCTCTATTTAATGATGCTGGGTTTTTTCCAGTAAATTACACCATAGATACACCGCGGTAGGTCCGACACCGAGAGATTACACATATTTTCAACGATTTCGACACGTACCGGCATGTACGCGCAATGCGTGAAGTATCCGCCCAGCCTTGTAGGCGCTAATATGCGGCAGCGGCTCCCGTCACCGTCGTTGACGGTCGACCGCACTGTTTGGTGCTGTTTGGTGTTGGAATGCGTGAAGTATTCCTACAGTCTCGTAGGCGCTAATATTCTCTCGACAACCGTACTGTTTGTTGCAACGCGTGAAGTAGCGGAAAGCAAGTTTGTAGTTCGGTGTCTTCTATTCAGGACCGGTCGTAAAATAATTTTGAGTATATTTTCATGCTGATATTCTAAAGGATGCACAGACCAGCGTACTCAAATGTAATGGACGTCCAACTTCCCCACTTCTACTTCAGACTTGTCAAATACTGAGGTCATTCGCAGTTATATGCCGCATTTTATTACCTACTTTGGACATCAGACGACGTAGGCATTGTTCTCGAGTGGGCATTTTATGTAATGGACATTTAAAAGAGGATACTACGACAGAGGAAATTTTCTACTGGACATTTTTAGAATTGGGCTCTTTAAACTGGACATTTTCACTTGCCATCTTTCGTAAAACCGAATTTGGTATTGGCTACATAGTATAGACTGGGGTGCAAATTTTTTTAGAATTTTAAAACGTAAGTAGTCATACATTAAAAATCATTCTGGTTGGGGGGGGGGNNNNGGGGCCACCCCGGACTGTGAAACTCAATTTTTGGAGCGCCAAACAAAGTTCAATCGAGGGGCGTCAAAAATGTAAGTCCGGCCTGATTTTGCGAGGACTCTACCTGATTTATTCGTTATTGCCTTCTGATATAAATTGCCCATAGCTGTCAATGGTGCTAATGCTGCAATTGCTTTGGATCAATAGTTATGCTGCAATTACAGGAATTAAAAGCTGACGATATAAAGGAATCACGGGATCGAAATAAGAGAGACTCAAGAGAGGACCAAGAAGCAAGATGTTTATTCAAACAGTTCAAGAAGGTTCACGCGAAAAGCTATTTGGCAAGGTCCGAGGAACATCGGAGATTCAGCATCTTTAAANGCACTGCAGTGGCTGGACGTCCGCGTTGATATCGCGTCGCGCCGATAGCGAGAGACGCGATCTATGCATGGGATTCCTGATTCCCCTGATTGCCGCGCGCCGCGACGACACCTATTTCTGTCCCCCACCAGAAACTCTGTCCGTTCAAGAGCTGGCGCGCAACCCATTCCGCGGGCCGCCGTAGCTGTGTATGCCGGGTTGCGGGAAACCATTCGACGCAGGAACTTCGATCCCGCTTGGACTACTGCTCTCTTTTTGGGCCGTAGTATCTTAATTTATTTTGCGAGGAAAGCTCCGTACTTTTGATGGATGCCTGCCATTCCTGATATATTAGAGCGCCTTCAGTTTCGTATGATACTGTGCAATACCTCTGATGTGAAATAGTTGCTTCAAGCGCCGCGGTACGCTGCGGCGCGGCGCGGCGGGCGGGCAGCCAGCGCTGAACGCGCATTGGCGCCTACAAACCTAACAGGGATACTTCACGCATTGCGCAATGCGTGAAGTATCCCTGCTAGGTTTGTAGGCGCCAGTGCGCCGCCGCTCGGCTCCGCTTTGTGTTAGGCTCTAATATTTAATCTCGAGGAGTCAGCGTTTTTCAACTCATGACTTTGAAATGTTTGCACACTCTGTATGGATTATTCTCATTTTAATTGATTAAAAAAAAATATGTAGAAAGGAAAATATAATGTGCGTTTTGTAAATACAGTAAAAGCTCGTTGAGACGAAATATAAATCCGCCTAAGACGAAATTTTTTTCGATCCCTTGATAATTCCATAAGAGTCAATGTAAAAAAAATACGGATAAGACGAAATTTCGAAATTGTGACCCGTAACTAAAACCGGTTAAGACGAAGAAAAATTTCCGGTTTTTCCCCCTGAAATTGGGTAAAAACGACAAAAAGAGCCAATTCTTAAGAAAAATAGACTTAGTTTTACGTACCTTGACATAAAAAGAGTAGGTTGAGAGTAGATCGTGGGTATCCTCTGTTTTGCTGAATGACTGAGGTGCAATCGACAGTTGACGATAAACCGATTTGCGTATTTTAAAAAAAATTCAAAATTTAAAATTTAAAAATTTAAAAATTTAAAACTGATAGATAATAATCTTTCAAAAAGTCATTCACTTAAAATAATCTTTAATTTTAGTTTGTGTGGATTTTAAAAGCTGTCCGGATATTAAAACTGCTTCTAAATTTTGGAGGCTGTTGAAAACTGTATCGTCCACGTCATTTTGACTGAAGAATGTCCTAAGTTTGTCCAGTGATTTTTGAGCCTCCGCAACACACATTGGTTGAAAATCATTTTCTTCACTGGCACTGTTTTCATCCTCACTTTCACTATCACACTTAGATGATTTTTAACTAAATCTTAAATCTTATGCCGAAAAATTTCGTCTTAAGCGCAGTTGCCGCTTATGCCGAAAAATTTCGTCTCAAGCGGAAAACGGTTAAGCAGACGAAAAGCCGCTTGTGACGAAATTTTTTTCGGTCCCTTCATTTTTCGTCTTAACGAGCTTTTCCTGTATTAAGGTGATTCCGTACAAACTTGAGGATTTACAAAGCACAGATATTTCTACACAATTTCTTATAGCCTTTTATAGCCGATGGCGAAAAAGCAACAGCCAGGCGATAAAGTGTAAAGCCCGGTGATAGGAACTATAGCCCGGCTGTATAATTTATTATCGCTTTGTGTAGCCCGGCCATATGATTTTTTCCACTTTCTACAACCAGCTATATGATTTTCTATCGCCCTCTTCAGTCGGCTATAAGAACTCCTATGGTATTTTGAAACGCAGCTCCTATCGCCAATTTTTACCAGGGTCTGCCTACGTATTGCAAAGTGCAATAGGTTGCGATAAAATGCAAGATTGCTTGATTGTTGCCTTTTTTATGCCATGCCCATGGTGAAACTGCAGAAATGCGTATCTCGGTTGGCGGCATTGCAGACTTCCTGCCTTACTTCATTTTCCACATGCAAGACTACCATAAGTCATTTCTTGAAAACCTCCGTGATTTTTCTTCTTACTTAATGCGAAGAATATTTAGCAAAATTTTAATCCACGATGTTTTCTCAGGATCCTTTTAAAAAATAAAATAGGAGAGGGGATTTTGCAACACTGCAACGAAGATACGCATTTTTGCAATTTCATCCTGAATATGCTAATTCTTTAACCTCCTATTTTTAAGATAATAGCAATATATTTCAATCAAGTCGCAGTAAGTTTACCCAACAACTCTCTGCTGTACTGATGTTTGCCTATCTTTCCATTTGAAGGGGCCGATACGACTAATTTTTCCGCTTCAATTTTACTTAAACCCTCAAAGCAGTCGATGCACACGGGAAAAAGGTTGCAGGCCTACCGCGCGCCGCGGTAGGCTGATGGATATAGCGCGGAGAAATGATGAAGTAGAGCGACCTAGTTTTTTAAAGTACCATATTATGTCTAAAGAAACCGCACGGTTGCACTGTGGTCCAAAATTTATGAGTTCCAAACATGTTGGAAAAACTTTGAATATGGTTGCAAGCAACTAGCAGTTGCCGGCATCTTGCGAGGCTTTATGAGTAAAGAGAAAAGTTCAAAATTCAGGAGTAAAGGAACGTTCTGCAGTGCTAAGCAACAAGCCTTCATGCAGTGGTATCAATTACTGAATTTGGAATTTGTCGGCGGTAAGGTATGGCGGTTGTGTATGGTCACATTTAAATTGTTTGTTACCCTTTCTTTAACGGCATGCGATAGATAGATGATTGATCATTACTACATCTAAGATTTTGCTTCGTATAGATCCTATCTATGGCTATACTGGTCGTCTCATTTGAGAGTGTGAAGGGACAATATAACGACAGGGATGAAAAATATTCCAACGTGGGAAGACAATATAACGTGCCAACCAATACGGTGCTAGCAAACGACATGACAGGCAAAGTACGTATTAATTATATACTTATTTATAGAGGGTATTATTCTTAGGTGCTGAATTGCTCGTAACGACTGTTAAAAAAACTTTGAAGAAACTCATAACTTTTTAAATTCGAGTTAAAAAGTGTTGACAAACTCTTCAAGCATTAGTCGTAATTGTTCAATACTACAAAAGTTTGCAAAATATGTAATAAAAAAAAATAAAAAAAATCGAAGGTAAAAAGTCATCTTTTTAAAAGGCCATTTTACGTAAATTTCACAACACGTTAAATTTTACTTGAAGAAAAAAATAGCCAACAAGGGTTTATTTCTACGGGGAATAACCAAAAACCACAATTACAGCAGTTTTACCATAATGTTACGGTATCTGTTACGCTCCGCTTCCACACCATTGAGACCTTAAATCGATATTGAGGGATTTTTTACCATCGAAACCTTCGGATTTCTAATTTGTTCACGAAAATTCGCTGAAAGGATTGATGCGAAATTAGTGCTCCTCGGTTTAAAAATCAAGTAAATGTGTTTTGTCATAAAACCTACGGGTTGAATTAACCATTCTTACCTTGCCTCCACTTCTCAAAATAACAATCTGCGAGCCAGAATGATTAAAATTCTCTGACTCTATATGAACAATAAACGCTATATTCTCACTCTCTATTTAATGATGCTGGGTATTTTCAGTAAATTACGCCGTAGATACACCGTGGTAGGTCCGACACCGAGAGATTACACATTTTCAACGATTAAGGCACTTAACGGCATGTACGCGCGATGCGTGAAGTATCCGCCCAGCCTTGTAGGCGCTAATATGCGGCTCCCGTCGCGTCGTCGACGGTCGACGCGGTCGACCGCACTGTTTAGTGCAATGCGTGAAGTATTCCTGCAGTCTTGTAGGCGCTAATATTCTCTCGACAACCGCACTGTTTGGTGCAACGCGTGAAGTAGCGGAAAGCAAGTTTGTAGTTCGATGTCTTCTATTCAGGACCGGTCGTAAAATAATTTTGAGTATATTCTCATGCTGATATTCTAAAGGATACACGGACCAGCGTAGTCAAATGTAATGGACGTTAAACTTCCCCACTTCTACTTCAGACTTGTTAAAAACTGAGGTCATTCGCAGTTATATGCCGCATTTTATTACTTTGGACATCAGACGACGTAGGCATTGGTCTCGAGTGGGCATTTTCTGCTGGACATTTTTAGAATTTGGCTCTTTAGATTGGACATTTTCACTTGCTACCTCTCGTAGAACCGAATTTGGTATTAGGCTACATAGTATATGGACTGGGGCGCAAACTTGTTCAGAATTTTAAAACGTAAGTACCCATACATTAAAATTCATTCATTCCCGTTGGAGGGGGGGGGGGGTACCCCAGGCACGCCGGAACATGAAATTTAATTTTTGGAGCGCCAAACGAAGTTCAATCTAGGGGTGTCAAAAATGTAAATCCGACCTGATTTTGCGTGAACTCTACCTGATTTATTCGTTATTGCCTTCTGATATAAATTGCCCATAGCTGTCAATGGTGCTAATGCTGCAATTGCTTTGGATCAATAGTTATGCTGCAATTACAGGAATTAAAAGCTGACGATATAAAGGAATCACGGGATCGAAATAGGAGAGACTCAAGAGAGGACCAAGAAGCAAGATGTTTATTCAAACAGTTCAAGAAGGTTCACGCGAAAAGCTATTTGGCAAGGTCCGAGGAACATCGGAGATTCAGCATCTTTAAAGATAACTTAAAGAAGATCAAAGAGCTCAACGCTGATGAAAGATATTCAGCGACTTTTGGTATCACGCAGTTCGCGGATCGAACAAGTAAGTGTGTTTACGAACAACGATTGGTCATGGCTAGAGTCCCTTTATACTGAGAGTCAAGACAACACCCCTCATGGAGTCACAAACGGGAATAAAGATTACACAAATTGAACGTTTTTCGTAATCTTTGATCGGCTCATTCTTAAATTCATTTCTCCGTTCCTTCTCTCATTCCGTTTGTTCCTTGTCGAACCCGAATTCCTCAGTCCATTCCAGATTATAATCTTTGAAATTGGTGAAAATGTAATCTTTATTCCCGTTTGTGACACTGTGAAGGCCTAAAATCCGGTTAACCAATCAGAAATGGATTCGCATTGTCTTGACTCTCAGTATAAAGGGACTCTAGTCATGGCAAATGTAGACAGCTTGACTTTAGCTTGCTGAGGAAGAACGCCACATGAGCCCTCGTACGTCGCCAATGGAGATGTTGCATGTGTGAGAAATTTGCGATTTGACTACTGATTTTTACGTAAAAGTTCGCGAGAAACACGATGGTACCACTGGTTTTCTCTGAAATCAACTCCCAAGCTCAAGAAAAGCCCTCAAGTTGGGGCCAAAATGGAGGGGATATCCAACCCTACCCTGAGAATCCACCTCTACATCAAGACAAACCCTCGATGCAAAGATAGGGAGCAAATACATTGACAGGGTTGTCACCTTATTTGGGATCTCTAAAACTGAAATCACGGCAACCCTGTCAATGTATTTGCTCCCTATCTTTGCATGGAGAGTTTGTCTTGATGTGGAGGTGGACTCTCAGGATAACGTGGGATATCCCTCCATTTTGGCCTCAACTTGAGGGCTTTTTTTGAGCTTGGGAGTTGATTTCAGAGAAAACCAGTGGCACCATTGTGTTTCTCGCGAGCTTTTACATAAAAATCAATAGTCAAATCGCAAATTCCTCACACATGCAACATCTCTATTCGACGAAAACTGTTCGACTGCAAACTTTGCCTCCGCAGACAAAGATCCTTCTTTCCGTGGCGATCACGTTTCGTCGAAATATATACTGAATTGATGCGGTGGTAATATTTACATCAAGAGTTTTGGGGAGGAAAATTATGTGTAATGGTATGCGGAATTGGCAACTTACCGTGTGTGAGACAGGAAAGATACATACTATTTTACCTTTCGAGTAGCTAATATTGCATATCAATCGATTTGAAGGTGAATCGTGTTTCTCTTTCTTAAATCAATTCGTCCAGGCTAAATGCGTGAAGCAGATTTACTCAAATGCATGATACAATTTTTTCAACCCCCGAGAAACTCTAGTAGTATCGCCATTGGATTTCAAAAACGGTGCGAAACACGGGTCAATTAATGCTAGTGCCTAGGTAACACAAATTATGATTAGAAATTTTGTCCCAGTGTTTCATGAGTGTCAGAAAGCTTAAATATATTTATTTGACCCCAAATTGATTTTCTTCCTGTGTCGGACTCTATAAGTTCCCACATCTCGTGAGGCACATTTTGGCTGCCTCGATCTCATTTCTTGGAATTTTTACAAACTTCTCTTAATCCTCAATAGGATATTCCGTAAAAATTCCAAACAATGAAGTTCATTGGTTTTTCCCCTTAAACATTAAATAAAAGAGAAGACGATGAATAAGATGATGAAGAAGAAGGAGAAGAAGAAGAATGAGAAGAAACAAAATTGAAATAAAGGGAGATATTGACAGCATGCAATCGACATGTGTATATCCTTGAGGTCTCCACCATGGGGCCATTTTTTAAAATGTGTGTTTGAGATGAAGCTCTTTGGTTTGAGTAGGTAAGGAGTTCCGGAGAGGGCTCGGTATATTACCGATATCAAAGACAGGGAGGGTCAGCCTGGAAGAAGAGGAAACCGAGGAAATGGAGGACTTTAAGAGGAACGGAAAGGTAGACGAGGAATTTGACGAAAATTACGATTGTCCAGAACCGATCAGTGCGATAGAATCTAGAATCGCCCCGAGAGTACGACCAACCCCTAGAAATTGCTCAATAGATTGGCGTAGGAACAACCCCAACTACCCATCGATAGATGATCAGGTAAGAGATCTGCCATAGATGTAAAATCATATGATAGGGTAAAGATGAAGGAAAACAAAGAAACGGAAAAATTAAGAAGAAAAAATTAAATCAATAAATGGAATATAGTATTGTGCAAGGTAATCCTGCATTATTTCTCAAAGAAAGCACTTACTCCTGCAAAAATTCCAAAAATTGATGGCCAAAGTGCGAAACCATAGGTGTCCATTGCGGTATTTCAAAATTTTTGCTCCTATTTTACTTTTCTCAAGAGAAGGAAGCCAAAAGAGCTTAATATTTACACAGATTATTCTGTTAATAGAGAAGAAATATCAAGGAAGTTTTCAAGATATCACGTTGACCAGCTTTTGAATGAAAGAATAAATAATGGCAGCAGGTCTGCAACATCACAAACAGAGGTATATAGTTTTGCATTTTGGACATCGATATGGACTCTCTGAAAGCATTGCAAAGTTTGGAAACGAAAGAATACTTAGCGGATATGAAAAAAAAATGCCGTCAAGTTTTGTGATCAGTGAGATAAGTTTCTTTCAACTTTACTGGAATGGAACTTCGATCTGATCTTATATTTTTTTAAAACCGAACTTAAAAATATAGCGTTAATTTTTTTATTTAGATTTGAAAACATGAATTTTCCGGAAAACTTGTTATTACTTTTCTTTGAACACTCTGGAGAATATTTTTTTCCAATTTATTCTGGTGTACCTTAAAATGTCAAGGAAAAATTTACTTGACTACCCTCAAAAATAAATAATTTATCAGAAGAATTTCGACAACATCTGAATGTAAATTGCATTCCTCCTTAGCACACCAGCATTGATGTCTGAATTACACTTTTCAACAATTCTTACAGGGTACTCACTGTGGATCCTGCTGGGCTTTTGCAGTGGCTGGAATGCTGGAGGTTCTCCTCTCGAGCAAATATAAAAAATCGACGAAGCTGTCGAAACAACGTAAGTACAACTTGGATCAGGCCTCAAATGAGAGCTAGAGCCAACAGCTGCAAAGGGGCCTTGCACCCGTAGAGCCCGCACAAGAAAATTGTCTCGAAATTGTGAATTTAAAATTGTGTCGAATTCAGGTCCGCCATATCCCATCTCCGGCCCTGGTACCTATTTTAAGGTCCAGGCCATGATATTAATGTATATGCCACGGACGGATCTCGATTAATCCGAACAAATCACGGTCGGCCCAGCAAATGTGTTGCCCATGTATGTGGCCAGTAAAAGGAGCACTAAAAAAAAGTCTCTTGGATCCAGAGTCCAGACTCTTAAAAAATTTGACAAGAAAAAATACTCATGATTCAATCGGATTTTTGCTTGAATCAAAAGGAAATCCACTTAAATTAAGAGGCTGGGTTTTCAATTCAAGCAAAAATCCGATTGAATTAAGATTATTTTTTTTTTTTGTCAATTTTTTTAAGAGTCTAGACTCTAGACTCTGGATCCAAGAGACTTTTTTTCCGATGAGGTGCGACCAAAGTTTGAAACTGTTTGAAAAAAAAAAAAGTTTCGGACCATAGCCCCCATCAGCCCCCTCCTCTGTGGGGGTCATCGAAAATTTTGGGAGCCCAAAAAGTAACTGACATTGATCTACGAACAACCCCCCCCCCCCCCAAGTTCCGTTTCAAAGTATGAATTAGAAAAAAATTGTAGCGGGGTGAACTGGAATTTTCAGACACCATGCATATTTGCCGGAGACTTAAACGAACGTGTATAAAAAACAACCATAAAATTTATTCTGGGAGCGCATGTATTCTCGTGGGACCGTACTTGATACAAGTCGACGAGACGGCTTGATCTCTTCGTTTTGTTGTCCTGAAACATAATTTTGATATTGTCAGGCTAAATTTTTTCTGGAACATCCTTGAATTTAAGATGCGTCCAAAATGACCGCCACAAGGATGAGATCGGTCAAGTTTTCGCCTCGCGCTATCGCGCCTTCAGTTTTGCTCATACAACATGAATATCCATTGAGCACGAATGGGCGCTGTCATCAACGCATTTTGAGGTGTCTTTAGAGGTGAAAAAAAAGAAAAAGAAAAGGAAACGATCACAGGTCTCTCAAGCTATCTAAAGGGTGCACATCTATAAATTGGTAATTTGGCGAGAGTTGTGTCGTGTCAGGAATTTTTTTTATTTTATTTTATTTATTAATTTTTTTTTTTTTTTTGACGACTACCCCCAGAAATCCCAGACTAGGTCCAACTTGCCTGGCTATCTCTCCTGGGACAGTTACTTATGATGGAGGAGAGGGGGTAGGGGTGAGAAAGCGCCAGTATGTTAGTATAACGGTGGAAATTACAAGAAAAATATTAATTTCTTTAAAAAAAATAGGTAAACCTAAAAAACTTCATAAATCCATGTATTTATAGACGGTCACTTTGACCCGACTTGGGAGTTAGCATTTAAAAACGTTCGGTCGTCGCTCTTCGAAAGGCGCGTACTTTTAATCGGTTTTATTTTGTTCTTTGTTCAGAATTAGTAGACTGCACTTGGGATAACTTCAAGTGTAAAGGCGGACATATACCACCGGCTCTGCGAATGTTGAATGTCAATGGCGTGTGTGCCGAGAGAGACTATGAGTATCATGGGAGGAACGGATCTTGCAGGCCACGCGCAGCAATAGCCAAGATCGACAGCTTCACTGAATTCAGTGGTAGTTCACGAATATCTGCAGCTCTTCGTATAAGCCCTGTCGCCGTTTACTTGGGGGTTCATGAAAACGCCTTCGCGGTAAATATCTTTCGAATTAGCCAATCATACAGTACTAATTGGACGTACTTCTATCAAACGGAACTATGTGCATTATGACGTGAGCCCTGCTATGCGTGTATTCTTATGGGTCTCAGGGCTCATGTCTTAATGCACATAGTTCCGTTTGACAGAAATACGTCCAATTGTGTTTCAATGAGAAATAGCAAAACTGCATTTCACGCAGCCAAAGTTTCTCTCTTGATTTATTTTCTCCTCTAAGAACGAAGCAACATAATTACCTGAAACTCTCTGTGTATATCCTCTGCGGGCCGATTATTGAAATTGATAGACAAAGCTATGGACAAAGAGAACAAAAGGTAAAAAAGAAAGGTATTAGACCAACTAATGGCAACCGGCGAGAGACCCTTTAGTAGTGGGGGGGGGGGACCACCCATCTCAACCAATAGGATCGCTACATACTCCCTATGTCTTCTTTTTCTATAGCTTTATCTATAAATTCCAATAATCAGTCCGCTAGACTAGATATACACACACGCTTTTGAGTCAGAATGTTGCTTCGTTCTCTGTTATGGGGAAAAATGAAACGTAAGAGCATAGACAAAGTAAGTGGCTAGGATGATTCTGGCTAAAGCCATCCAATTGTGACAATCTACGGAAGAGGGGACCTTCATGAACTGTAATCATAAAACCCATTGGTTGGATTTATATTAGTGCCCAATTATTCCATAAAATATAGCGAGGCATAGATATTAGCCAATGCCATGGCATATAGACTTACGTTTTTTTGGCGAGCGAAAAGTTCGAATTTAAATTTCTAGTACTCGAGTAAAAATCCAAAGTTCCTAAGGGCCCGCTGTGTTTTATGTTTTATGACTGGATTGAGGAGGAACTATTGGAATTGATAATGACACAAAAACATTCACAAATTAGAAAAAAATGTACATTCAGTTCAGATCTGATCCAAAGTGAAATATGTTTCAGATTGCTGAATTCATGTGAAAATATTACATTCGAGAGTAAAGTTTTCAGTTTAAATTCCTTTTATAAGGACATAAAAATCATACGAATAAGTTTCAAGACTTTTGAACAGATAGTTTTTATCCATTAAATTATAATGAGGCAGCTAGGCAGTTCCCATCGTCATACATTGAGATACACGGTTATGCAGAATTACCATTGATTATTTCTGTCCACATCAGTTTTATATTTATTTCATTTTTTATTTTATTTTTTACATAGTTTTACAGAAGCGGTGTCATGGCTCCACAATATTGTCCACAAACGGACGTCAAGCATGCTGGAGTCATTATCGGGGATTGCGGAGGTAAGTGAATGTTCTGTTGGTATAATTTTTGAGGTATTATAGGGTAGATTCTCGATACAATGAGTTATCAGTGGACGAGGTGTATAAATGGAACTACCACGTCATGTATTTCCTTTTTGAATTTTACTTATTGTTAGAGAACGATCTTGGACGTAGGAAGTGGGGACTAGCTCCAAGCTCCTACCTCGCCTTGAATATGAAATCCGTTTCAATCTAAATCTAAATATAATCACAAAAATCGGAGTCAGTCAGAGGACATTAAGGCTAATCTTTAGTAATAATCAAAAGACAAATCACTAAACGAAAGTATATCAATTTCACTGATAAAATGATATAATTAATTATCTGTGTCTTTAAGATTGAACATTTTTGATAGAAAAATTTATTAATTAACCAAAGATTAAAAATTAATTGAAATTTGATTATTTCAAAATTTAATGAAGCAAGAATTAAAAGTAAAAAATAAATTAAGTATAAGTAAAGATTATAATCTTTTACCTTTTGTATCAGGGGCACATGCGAAGGATACACACGGCAATAAGTTTGAAATCGTAATTGATCCAACGACTGCTGTTGGTTATAGGACATTTTGTCAACGATTTTTTGTCCGATTTTTTCCAGTAATTTAAGTCCACGCGTTTTTTCGGCAGGGGAGTTTTGGTCCACATACCAATTATTGAGACCCAAAGTTAATTGGTCAAAATGTAAATACAAACAACACGACGTTTTTGGATGAAATGTATAATGTCTTGGAAGAATGAGGGTTTGCTCTTTTTTGTTTGTTTGCTTGCTTTGCCAAACGGAAACAAATATATAATTGAGAATTTTGGCGTCAATTCCAAGAGGGAAAATTCACAGGAATGTCCAAAATGACAAGGAAGCTTGTCATTCTTGATACGTTGGAGCGCCGATGATACTGTGCAACACCTATGTCGCGAAATAGTTGCCTGAAACGCCGCCGTAGCACTTTGCGGCGCGGCGCGGCGGGCGACCAGCGTGACACGCGCATAGGCGCCTACAAACCTAACAGGGATACTTCCCGCGTTGCGCAACGCGTGAAGTATCCCGTTAGGTTTGTAGGCGCCAGTGCGCATTTCGCTCTGTATAAGGCTAAAATATTTAAACTTGTGGAGTCAGCGTTTTTCAACTCACGGTTTTGAAATGTTTGCACGCTTTGCACGGATTAGTCTCATTTACATCGATGAAAAAAAAAAAAAATGTATTAAAGGAAAATATGACGTGTGTTTTGAAAATATTTAGGTGGTTCCGTGTCTAATTTAATTATTTCAAAAGCTTTTTAATTTTTATTTTATATTTTGTGCTTTTACTGTGCTTCAGCTTGGTGTATTTGCAACCAAATGCTCAAAATTGGACATGTTTGACTGTGAAAAATCGATGTAAAAGTGGGTTAAAACGAAAGATTGCGTCCTCCTTGGTTTTTTTTCTCTCTCTTTTTCATTTTTGTATAGTTCCTTTCAACTCAAGTACGGCTCATTGAGATTAATATCGATGTCATCGCTTGGAAAATGTTTTACAAATATTTGCCACGTTTTAAAAATATAATGTTTTTAAAATGAAGTAATATTATCATTTAAAAAAATTATATATATACGGTATATTTTAAATCGACAATTTTATAGATAGAAATAAAACCAAATATTCACCAATGAAAATTTGAAAGATCAATCAAAAGAAGAAAGTAACATTTCATTTAAAAAACGAGTTAGCATAACAACACCTTCTTCTCTCTCAATTTTCTAATTCGATATTGTCAATATATTTTTACATACGGACTGAAATATAATCTTTGGACTAAGTCACTGTTTCTTATTTTACGCGTAGACGTAAATTACTGGACTAAACAGGTACCCGGACAAAAAATCGTTGACGGAATGTCCTGAAACCCTGCTGTTACATAATTCCTATAATACTTATTGGCAAATTTTCTTGTCAATACTCCAGTATTCCTACTTTAGTTGCCTGCGTGTGTGCTTTCACAGAGGGATCTATTCAGCTGGTATGCCACTTGTTTTCAGATTAATTTCCAGCACGAGAGGCTTGTCAATTTTTCCCCTTATTTTGCCCTCATTTTGTATTTCAGACTCCTGGATTTTTCGGAACAGCTGGGGCGATGACTGGGGTTCAGAGGTAAAATGTCTGCTTAGTTATTGACTACTGTATAGCAATGTGCTTTCTTCAGTCAGCATCTTTAAGAGCATCCTTGATGAGCGGTTGCATAGATGCGGGCTGTCCCTAAGAACTATTGCCTGTAGGAAGAACACCACTTCTCCCTCCAGTGAAATCATTATCAAATAAAAACCCTGATTCTCTGAAAATGTCCAGGGTTAAGACTGCTATCTCGGCGGATTTGACCAGAGTCAGACGTTGCCAAATTTTAATGCGTCTTCTTTTTTTCACAAAAACTTAGCAACTTTCTGGCTTGAAATTTGGTGAGAACGTCATGCTCTATGATATAAAATCACCGAACCACAGTTGGACCACATTTTGCAATAAGGAACCACTATTTCTGGCTCATTTTAGAAACAACATATATGCCATTGGTTTCCCTACGTAGAAAGGTGCTTTTACAGAAGCGCCAGAGATAGTGGTTCCTTATTGCAAAATTTAATCCAGTTTATTCTCCTGAGCTAAAACGTATTTTTTCCTTGCATTTTACAGGGTCATCTTTACATCAAAAAAGGATACTGCGGGATAGGAACGTATGCTTTCTCGATCAATTCGGGCCGATTATTGAAAGTTTGAAGCAATATACGACATCAAAATTCGATAGATGGCATGGATGAGATAGAGGCATGTCTAGTCTTGTCTAGTTTTGCCGTGCCGACATAGTTTCAATAATCGATCATCAAGATTGCATGCGCATCACCCTCCAGAGGCGAGAGCTGTCGGAAAGAATCGGATTCTTCTTCTTCCCTCAAGTCCTTGCCACTTGGCGGAAACCTGGGTATTGTTTTAAATAATCACGAAGTGCGGTTCAAATGCATGACGAGCATGGAGGAGAAAACTCTGTAATTACCAATTAAACAATTATGGAATCTCACTCATAATCAGTCTTTTTATTAAGTCTAAATCTGTGACCAACTAAAAAACTTGATTTTCCCGAAAAGCCATTTTGTCACTCACGCCGTTTTCCAACCCACTTCCTCAATTCACTGTATAATAGTTAATTGCATGTTTAAGATAGGGACGTCAGTAAAGCCTGGTTTCCATTGAACGCAAGGGCTTACGTCATAGCGGTAGCGCGGCGAAGTTGAACCCCGTTGTTCTCGAGGCCTATAGATATACACGGCGATTAATCGCCGCGGGTGAAAGACGGAAGCCAACGGAGAGCCTTGATTTCGATCTATTGACGTCGATATATCGAAATCAAGGCTCTCCATTGGTTTTCGTCTTTCACTCGCGGTCGTGTGCATCTAGGCCTTTATTAGCGTTTTCGAAGTTAACGAATTGTTTTTTGAGACTATTATTTACCATGATACCACGACTTCCTTAACATCGGGCAATGTATCTACGGTGGAGGAGACAGAGCTACTACCTCTAGAGCTTAAGTTGATGGAGGATACTGGACTTCGACTTATTATTCTACCCTCGATATGGTTGCCATGAATTTTGCATCGTCATTTAGAATGAGCAAGTAAACAGTGGTTTCGTAAGACCCTTAAACGATAATTAAAGGACCAGTGTAAACACTTTTCAATGTTTTTTCCAATATTCATTTTTCATTTCATAGGAGTCTCTTTTTCGATCTCAAATCTTCTTTAGTTCCAATCATTTAGTCCATCGACATTAATTTTTATCACTAGACTTGCAACTAATAGCTACATAGATTATAGCCAGCCAATCACGCGTAGACTTGTTGTCTCACCACCCATGACGTCAGCAAGTCTATGCAAGCGTACGCTGCGCCTAAATCTAGGTCACTTTACATCCCCCAGTCCCGTAAAACGTCAGTCCTCCATCCACGCACAGTGGGAAAAACAGCCGATCTAGCGCCGAAAAAGTCGGAAAATCAGCATCAATGAAAATGGTCAAAATTGGTATGAATGTACTCCTTAGGATCTACTGATCAAGAATCAGCCATGTTCTACTTCATAAGCTCGATCTTATCTGCGATAATGATAAGAAACGCACCGGTTAGCGCGGTGCTGGTTGAGGACCGCTTGAGTGGTTAAATGCATTCAGAAGCCTCCTGTGTTTGTTTAAGTGTGTCATGTAGTGACTTTTGATTTTTTTTTTCAACGTCGGCTTGCTCACCTAAAAGTAAGGATACCAATTTTTTCTTTTTTCCATACTTCTATGACTTACAGTAATTTTTGGAAGTTAGCCTTTGAAATAGTCAGAAATTCAAACTTCAAGTATAGCAAAAAAGAATTTTTTTCTAGAAAAAAAATATTAAGGAAATTTCTAGAAAAAAAAACAAAGAAAATGAGAGATATCCAGAAAATAGAAAGAAAAAACATTGCGAGTCAAAAGTCTGACCAAAGAAAATAGATCAATTTCATAGGTCTACTTTCTGTCAACTTCCCATTTAGAAAAAAGGTAGAAATTTTATTGGAAGTAGAATTATTTTCTTGCCAATTTCTTAATATTTTCTTTTAAGAAAATGCGAGGGAAAAATGTATTTTCTTTCTATTTTCTTGTGTCTATTTTCTAGATCTATTTTATACCTATTTTCTTTCAAGAAAATTGTTCTATCTAGAAAGTACCTAGACATTTTCTTGATGAGCGCCACCTAGAAAGTAGATGACAATGCTACTTGGGATCTTACAATATCCAAGAATATCCAAGGAGATATTTATATCCAGTTACTCGTTATACGATCAAGATCACAAAAAGCCTTGGTTGAAACCAGCTTTTCCCAGCCTCCCTGGTAAAAATTGGCAGTAGAATCTGTGTTCCAAAATACCATAGACCTACAGCCGGCTGTAAGATTTCCAATAGCTTCTATATAAGCAACAGCCAGGCGATGAAGTATGCTAAACGTTACTAATTACGGATGCTAGGACTTGGTGAGTTTTTGGACTACTGCTCTGTTTTTGGGCCGTGGTATCTTGATTTATTTTACGAGGAAAGCTCCGTACTTTTGATGGATGCCTGCCATTCCTGATATATCTGAGCGCCTTCTGTTTCGTATGATACTGTGCAATACCTCTGGTGTGAAATAGTTGCTTCAGACGCCGTGGCACGCTGCGGCGCGGCAGGCGGGCAGCTAGCGCCTACAAACCTAACAGGGATACTTCACGCGTTGCGCAATGCGTGAAGTATCCCTGTTAGGTTTGTAGGCGCCAGTGCGTCGCCGCTCCGCTTTGTGTTAGGCTCTAATATTTAATCTGGCGGAGTCAGCGTTATTCAAATCATGATTTTGAAATGTTTGCACATCCTGTATGGATTGTTCTCATTTTAATTGATGAAAAAAAAAATATGTATTAAAGGAAAATATAAGGTGTGTTTTGTACATATTAAGGTGGTTCCGTATCAAACTTAATGATTTCCAAAGCACACAAATTTCTACACAATTTCTTATAGCCTATTACAATCGATGACGAAAAAGTAACAGCCAGGCGATAAAGTGTAAAGTCCGGCGATAGGAACTTTAGTCCGGCTGCATAATTTTTAATCGCTTCGTATAGCCCGGCCGTATGATTTTCTATGGCCTTCTTTAGCCGGCTATAAGAATTCCTGTGGTTTTTTGAAACGCAGCTCTTATAGCCAATTTTTACCAGGGTTTCCAGAGATTCATTTGATCAAAACTTTGTCTAAACATGTGCTCAGACTGATTGTAACTGTCGTTTTGTCTAGCAGCCTAGCGTTGAATGGTTTTTGCAAAATTTGCTCTCCTGAAAACCTACCGTACTGCCTAGGTATAGTTCCGAACTGCAAAATGCTATCCATTTTCCCCCCAGAAAATTCGCCGAACATTTCCCCAAAAGAATCATGAGAAAGTGTCGAAAATTTATTTTCTGATTTTCTTGAACCCCTCCGGTTCTTTACTTTCATTACTTTTTTTTTTTTTTTTTTTTTTTTTTTTTTTTTTTTTTCTTCAGGGACATTCCCCATCTGACTTTATTCAGTTTTAATGTGATACAAAATAAATGAGTGTGCATATAATAATTGTTTACATGGTGTTGATAAAATTATTTACATTTGAATAGGACGGAAATTATCGGTAGATATCTCTATCGCCCTTGTTAGACTTTCATTACTTTGGTCGAGCTTAATTAGTTCTAATTCTAAAAATGGCAATTGTTTAAATAGGTATCTTTTTTATTGCGCTTATCAAGGAGCAAGAATTTTTTGGTTCAGCAAATTCCGAGTAATTTTCTTTAAAATTTTCCTTAACTTCCTCACACAAATCTTATCATTGCGAATATAATCGATTTTCGAAAGCGAATTTCTTAATTTCGTTGTTCATATTGCTAAAATTATCTTTTTTTCCATCTAGTTTAGTATCCTGTTAATTGTGCCAAAAGGTCGATTAAGAGTCAATCGTTTCTGCGAAGAATTGGTAACATTGCTTGCATTTTTTGGCACCTTGGTTTACTAGTTTTACTGTCAAAATGCGGTCTTTCTCCTCATCGAGTTATCAGCACTCTCTTATCAATTCAGCTATTATGTAATTTGTCTGTTTCAGCCAATGGAAGAAAAGCCTCAGGAGACTCGCAAACTTCCTCCCCGTAACCAGTAGGAACTCCAATGGAAACTGACGCAGGATCAGAACCTCCGAGTTCAACAACAACATCGGAACCTGTGCCTGCTGCTGGTGCTGTACCTCCAAAAACACCCTCCCCGGCAATATCAGGCCTAACGACTCCTTCGTCAGCATCATCAGGACGGGGACAGATCCCTATCTCGACTGCTCCCTCTCCAACAGTTCCAGCACGAAACATTTCTCTAAGACCAGCCACCAGTGGTGTGGTGTGGGTGTCTTGGTAGCATTGAGTGGGAAGGATGGAGTGGAGACATTGAATATCAGTCCTGCCATGGATGGGCTTCTTCCTATTATCAATTATTTTTTTTTTTCAAAAGCCTGGTAATCTGCATTTCGTTTACAAGATTTGCGGTTTTAGGTCACTAAGAATTCTTAAGGTGATTCGATGGACGCCATATTTTGTATCAGAACGGCATGCGATATATCGCATCAATTGGTTCCATTTTTTCAGCTACCTACTCGTCATTTTTCTCCAATTTTAAGATCGCATTTCTGTTGTCAGGAGACTAAAGCGCTCACTTACCAATTTTGACAAACAAATTCAACGTAATAAAGGCGTGTTTTTTTCAGAGAGAAAACATCGCATTCGATACTGATATTGGAACTGCACTCGAATGCGATATTTCCTCTCTAAAAAAAACCACGCCTGTATTACGTTGAATTTGTTTGTTAAAATTAGTAAGTGAGTACTTTAGTCTCCTGACAACAGAATTGCGATTCAAAATTGGAGAAAAATGACGAGTAGCTGAAAAAATGGAACCAATTGATGCGATATATCGCATGCCGTTCTGTTCTGACATAAAATATGGCGTCCATCGCAAATCACCCTAAATACCAATTACTGTACTTAAGGAGCAAAATGTCGGGTCAAGACTCTCTGGAGCACGAAGACTTAAAAGTGCATTTTTTTAAAATTTGAGGTACTTATTATTTCCAGTAGAGCAGTCATCCTAAAAAGAGAAACTATGAGGAAATATTAATGAGACATTTCAGAATTTTTTTTTCTCTCTGTCTATGTATTTTATGCACCAAAGGTAACTAATGCACTACTGATCCATTGATAATAACTGGCACCTGCAGTGTCAATCATTAATTGTGGAATTATCTTGATTGCTAATTAGTCCGCAACTTCCTCTTTTAAAACCAAGCAATTCTGTAGAACACGGTGGTATAATGAGTGATGGTGCGTAACGACTTTGGGAATGGCTCCAACCATTAGTCGTATTTTGAATCTCTTCACGGGTAGCAGCCGTTATGGTTCGCCATTGTCGACTACTGTTCCCAATTTTCTTCTTCTCAACGGTGACTTTGGTTATCTTGATACCAAGTCTAGCCAAACCCATGGTGAGTACGAGGGAAAAATATCTGATATTTTTTTTGTGCGGGCAAGTTAGACAACGTGGAGCATCTACCATGAAAATGGGAGTTCAGAAATGCTTAAATTATTAGCAGGTTCGATTATTGAAACCTTCCCATATTTTACATTGAAACGAAAGTTTGAAATGAAGTTGCGATAGATTGACCGGACTCTCCATCGTACAGTCAATGCATGGCAATTTTAAACGATCGAGAAGCACCTGATTTGTAGTGAAAAGTGAACCTGTAACTTATTACAATTATATTGCAAAAAACTTCAAGATGAGGATTGTTCAAATGATGAATTGTTGATGAATAACAATGTGGAGAAATGGTGCTGGGTCCACACCATTTCGCGCGGAAAACGAAGCCGAGAAGTTCCAAAAATTAAAAGTAGAGTCAAAAATAATTTTTTTAAACTCTAATGAGTACCCGTACAAAACTGAGGGGGAGGGGGGTGTTCAGCTTAGGCAGTTTGCATTGGAATATTAAGCTGGAGTCACGGCGAGAGATCTACACCGGTTTGGGTCTTTTTAGACCCCATCAGCAGATCATACTCGTCAGTGAGCAAGTGTGACGTCACTGACTTCACTCGTCACTGACAAGTATGATCTGCCGATGAGGTCTAAAAGGACCAAACCGGTATAGATCTCTCGCCGGGACTCCAACCTAATATTCCAATGCAAACTGCCTGAGCTGAACACTCCCCCATCAGTTTTGTACTGGTACTCATTAGAGTTTAAAAAAAATATTTTTGACTCTAATTATAATTTTTGGAATTTCTCGGCTTCGTTTTCCCCGCGAAGTGGTGTGGACCCAGCACCATGTCGGCCTCCTATGGTGTAGTGGTTGTAGCGCTTGCTCTATAATCGGGAGGTCCCGGGTTCGATTCCCGGCCAGGCGACCCGAGTTTGATGGTCTCAAACAATGGTTGCCTGGGGCTGGTTCAGTAGGGACGGAGGGGGGATGGGACTTAAAGCGTGGGATTAGCCCTTGAGGGCTATTTGAAGTAGTAAAAAAAAAAAAAAAAAAAACCATTTCTCCACCTCGTTACGTACAGTACATATTCGGGCCACTTCTTAGTGTTTTTTCTCAGTTGTTGAATAATTACCATCTATAGCGTTAAATTTTTCTTATATTACATTTTCGAAAATTCTGTGGTACGCAATCACTCCAGTGGTATTCGTAACGCAACCCCAAAATTCCACCCTACCTCTGTAGTGCATCCTTAACGCAGGCTTGACCCCCCCCCCCNCCCCGGATACGTATTTTATAAATGGCCCCCGGCGGACTCTCATTCTAATTTACCCTTTTTTTTGCAGTTTAGAAGATACAAATTAGTGCACGAGGGCATACAAAATGTTCGAACGAGGCCAGAGGTATTTTTTGAAGCCACTCTGAAGAAATTCAACCATACAACACCCGTAATCGATGCCGTTTTTGAACTAAGAGACCCCGCTGTCAACAATTGGAAAGTAGGTACGGCATTCATTGAGGGGCGCCATTAAGCAACAGGGGTTGATCAACATTTACACGCAAATTTAGGAAAAAATAATTTATATTAAGTAATTAACAAACAGGTATATGAATGATAGCACCTTATCACAGACTGATTTTTAACGAGAGAAACCAATTGAAGCAAACTTTAATGGAGGAACATGAGAACTGCAGTTTCCTTTCTCCATAAGACTCAATTCCTAGACAAACTCAACGATTGGACCGATTGGAACGATTGGTAGGACTTTGACGCCACTACCCAAGTAGCTTAGTGCGATAAAAATACTGAAAATTGCGATTTAATGTAATACATTTGAAAGTTTTTATCATTTAACTGCAATATTTTTATATAATTTGGCCAGTAAATTCCGACTTTAAATGATTAGCTCCATCTGTTAGAGAGATTTGTAATCGCCGATCTAAAAGTCAGTGGCGATTTTGCAAGTTGACAACACTGTTGTTGGTCCACTTAAATCCATTGAAAATATCGATTTCACGTACATTTTTATCTTCAATGGAGGAAAAACAGCGTTGCCAATCTGCATAGTCACCACTGCTGAAAGTACTAAGTGAACGAAATTCCTAGGAATTTGTCAGACTTTTTCAAACTCTAAATGTCAACCCTGGTAAAAATTGGCAGTAGAATCTGTGTTCCAAAATACCATAGACCTAACAGCCGGCTGTAAGATTTTCAATAGCTTCTATAGCCGGCTACTCAATTTCTTATAGCCTTTTATAGCCGATGGCGATTAAGCAACAGCCAGGCGATAAAAATGTATGCTAAACGTAACTAATTACGGATGTTAGGACTTAGTGAGTTTTTGGAATACTGCTCTCTTTTTGGGCCGTAGTATCTAGACTTATTTTGCGAGGAAAGCTCCTTACTTTTGATGGATGCCTGCCATTACTAATATAATGAGCTCCTTCAGTCTCGTATGATACTGTGCAATACCTCTGGTGTGAAATAGTTGCTTTAAGCGCCGTGGTGCGGCACGCTGCGGCGCGGCATCAGGCGGGCAGCCAGCGCGCAAGCCGTAGGCATTGGCGCCTACAAACCTAACAGGGATACTTCACGCGTTGCGCAATGCGTGAAGTATCCCTGTTAGGTTTGTAAGCGCCAGTGCGTCGCCGCTCCGCTTTGTGTTAGGCTCAATATTTAATCTGGCGGAGTCAGCGTTATTCAACTCATGATTTGAAATATTTGCACATCCTGGATAGATTATTCTCATTTTAATTAATGAAAAAAATATGTTTTAAAGGAAAATATAATGTGTGTTTTGTAAATATTAAGGTGGTTCCGTATCTAACTTCATGATTTCCGAAGCACACGAATTTCTATACAATTTCTTATAGCCTTTTAAAATCGATGGCGAAAAAGCAACAGCCAGGCGATAAAGTGTAAAGCCCGGCGATAGGAACTATAGCTCGGCTGCATAATTTTTTATCGCTTCGTATATCCCGGCCGTATGATTTTCTCCGCATTTTACAGCCAGCTGTATAATTTTCTGTAGTTTTCTTTAGCCGGCTATAAAAATTCCTATGGTATTTTGAAACGCAGCTCTTATCGCCAATTTTTACCAGGGAATGCCCAAGTAGCATTTCTCAACGGAAAAATTGCTCTATATTGCGATTTTATCGGCAATAAAATCGCTAGGATCATCAACATCTGAGCGATTATCCTCGATCTTGTTGCAATAAAATCGCGATTTTATCGCCCAACAATTAAGCGCGATATTTTTTTAAATAAAAATCGCAATAAATGGCGATTTACCTTCGATTTTATCGACGCAAATTAATCGCGATTTTATCGAACCAAAAATTGCGATTTGTAGCAATTTAATCGCCATATATCGCAATTTTTAGTGCGATAAAATCTCGATATATTGCCATCGATATAATCGCGATAACCAACCGAGAAAATCGCTATTTATCGCGATTACTGCTGCTTGGTAGAGACCCCGATTTGAAAATGTCAAAAATTGGGCCCGTTCGAAACGATTTTTTGGCGGGCTCTGACAACGTAGCCGGGCAGTAGAAACTGAGTTTGCTGGTAGGTTGAACCCATTCAGGCATCGTCTTGCTACATCAAATCGACTTTCCAGCTTTATATTGATCGGAAATAGATTATCTTTTATTCTTCTTAGATATGATTTTTTGGACTCTGTGATAAACTTTGTGGGTTTTTCACGAGATTTCACGCAAAGAAAACTATATACTGCAGCCCCGCAAAAATTCCTTGCCACTGACTCATTACAGTAGAACTTCTTTCTAATTGCAGACGTGGGTGGAGGGGTTTGAGAGGCTCGGGCTGGACCACACCTACACAAAAAGTGCCATCAGCTTGTCATCCACTTTTTGTGAATTCGTCACTGGGAAGTTCATAATTAATCGAGGCTGGCGAGATTTCGGAAACATGCCCAGTTCATGCCCCATAAAAAAGGTAAGGTCGTAAGGAACGGAACTTATATACCGACTTACATAAAAGCTGCTTTTACAACGCTCTTTGGTGCTATGCGACACCCAGCCGCCAAAGTCCCCTATCCTCCCAAGGCACGGCAGGGAGTTGGCACTCCCTCATTTCTTTTATAACCTCCTGTCGCCACCCTTTTACCATTGGCGTCTCCTTCATCTCCTCTCAGGAGGAACTTTTATACCGACGGTAAAATCCCCAAACCACGAAACTTGATTAATTCGTTTCAAAATTCATTTTCCTACTTCATTATTCAGATTATAAATGAGTCAACATCATTCCTTTAAATCGTCACAGAATACTCTTCAATCAGCCCGCGTGAAGCAGAAAGGAAAAACCTCCAGAATTGCGAGGAATAACGCTGTACCTACAGTGCAGTGTTCCCCTGAAATTCTGAATTATGCCAGGAAGTCTGCAATGCCACAAATCGAAACAAGTAGTTTGAGAATTCCACCACCAATACGCAGTCAATGCAAGTGAATTAAATCACTTTATTTTGCTTAACATTTTAAGGCAAGCTCATTGACTTTACTAAAATCTCCCCTCAGCGATTGCGTATATCGAAAACATAAATTAGAGGGTGAGACGAGGGGGAAATTAGCCGAATGTCGACCAGTTCTCGAAATGAACCAGGGTAGAAATGACCGATCATTTTACGCACTGAAAATCCGGTCAAAGTGCCTGAAAAGGACATTTCAACTCTTAAGAAATGACAGAGCGAATCTGATGAAATGAAGGAACTTCGGATGGAACCTAAAAATCTTACAAGAGAGCCCTACTTCGAACCATTGAACCGTTGTCAGAAAGACCTGGACTCAAGCAACTATTTTAACTTCCTGGACATCAGATATTGCATATCTAGTAAAATGAAGGAACTTTGAACCAGGTGAGGCTGGGAATGCGACCTAGGGAGGGATCTTATTGGATTTTAATAGGTCAAATATTAAACGTGCAGAGAACCTCCGTACATATCTTTTTTCTTCCCCCTCCTTCCTCGGGACCCAGGAATTTTATTCGCATGTGGCTATGATGAAACTTACCAAGACAAACCTTTGGTGGAAATTATAGGAATAGAGCTCGAAGTTAGTGTTGGCTCTTGCTGAGTTAACATTGCTAAGTATTATTAAGACATGTTATTAATACTGGTGAGTAATTAAAAAAAAATTGCAAGACTTTTACAAAGTAGTTAGATCTGGTCTCAAGTTTGAAGCTCAAACGGTAGCGTTTCTCGTTACGTGGTTTGATGTTAGCCACATGTCAATGTTATCCTCTTGCCCCCCCCTCCCCCCCCCCCCAAAAAAAAGACAAAAAAAGGAGGGGCGACTTTTGGAGAGAATTTTCACTCTCCCGTCAGTACTAAATCAAATTTAAGTTCGAATGTGATCGAAGTGTGTCTAACATTTATGTCCCTCATTTGGAAGACATAAGGATGATCCCCCTCCCCCCTCCATCCGAGGTTTGGTAGGAAAGACGTCCAACTAGATAGTTATTCAACGTTATCCAGCGCTGCGTTCGATTATATCTTTTAATCTACGTTGAAACATTGCACTCACTGTTTTTAGCAATTGAATTGTTGAATCAGCAATTTTTTTTCCCGTATAATCATAAGTAATGAATCAACCATTAGCCTAACCACATAAATGACTGTTTATTCAGGGAAAGTACTCGATGCAAAACTACGTTATTGAGGATAAGTATTTGCCACCGTTCATGCCGGGAATTCATTGGCGGCTGGACTTCATTTCTGGGCCGGATGGAACGAGACAGAACAATGAAACTGCAATCATGTCTTATTACACGAAAGTAGTTTATTATTAAATCGAATATAAGTACCCAGATAGATTTCTTACTTTCTTACGTCACTCCTTTACAGGGAAGCGGTGGGTGCATTCGTATCTAAATGCTCGAAGGTCTTCGAAAAATTGTTCTTCTTCTACTCGTAAAATCAAAAGACCAGTTCACATTTATTATCACCGTCGTCTTTATTCCGCCGCGAGGATTATTTGGACTACCTACACTTTGCAATTAGGAACTATTAATGCCGGGCCGGTTTAAAAACAACGTATGTGCCATTAGTTTCCACTTTCCCCATGCACATTAGTTTTTATTCAGATGAGCCAGAATTTATAGGTCCAAATTGCAAAATGCAGTCCATTTGTAGCGTGGGGATGAAAACTACTTTGCTAAGGAAAAACGCCGCATGAACCTTCGGCTGTTGCTACATTTCCTTATCTCTCTCTTTTTTTTTATACGTATATTTATTTTGTAAGTCTTTGAGATTCTTTGCTTGATTAAAATCAATAATTAATGTTTTGAAAATATTATTTAGGCTACTAAGCCTTTGATTTTGTTTTAAACTTTTTTAGTCTATAAAATTTTTATGGGGAAGGAGATGAATAATATTAAGGTTGTTATAGGTAGAATCTGGGTTCATTTAAGCTTTATAAGTTTATCGTTTATCAAATAATCGTTACTTTCTCAAACGTAAGGTGTGTTCAGAATACAATCAATCGGTTGATTCAACCAGGGCTGTGGCGCACAGTAGATCGGGTCAATAGGTGAAGTCGGACAAAATTTGGAAACTTTAAACGCTTATAACTACGTTTATACACGACACTGAAGGTTTCCTCGTAAAATTTTCTTCAAGGGGCATCCCTTAAAGTTTATAATTTGACGGAACAAATATAACCATTTGCGGTTTTAGTCATACATTTCATGTCCAACCTCTCTAATTGACTCGATCCAATGTGCGCCATGCCGTGGCCGTGCGCTGACCGCACTGTCTTTGGCGCAATGCGTGAAGTATTCATGCAGTCTTGTGGGCGCTATGCGTTTCACGCCAACCGCTGCTGAGCTGAACGCACTGTGTTTGACGCAATGCGTGAAGTATTCATGCAGTCTTGTAGGTTCTAATATGTGTTACATGCCAACCGCCGCACAAAGGATTGAGTCAATTAGAAAGGTCGGGCAGGGAATTTTTTAAAAAAACTGCAAATGTTGGTGTTTATTTCGTCACATTTTAAAATTCAAGGGGTGATACTGGAAGAAAATTTCAAGAGAAAACCAATGGAACCATTTGCAGATAAGATATTGAAATCAATGGAGTTATAAGCGTTTAAACTATCCAAATTTACGACGCTAAATTTTGAACCAAATCCTCTGCTATAGAATACGAAAAGTCATGGAGAATTTAAGTCTTATGTTGACCACCTTCTCGAAAGAAAATTAAAATTTCTAAGGAAGTCTGCAACATCGTAAATGGAGAAACGTCGTCTCTCATTTTGCCCAAAAATATGTATGTATAAAATGGACATGTATGGTATGTATGGGTTGGACTGTCCTCTCTCAACTTATATTCGTCTGTACCGATAAACAATGTGACGCGTTTGCTACGGCGCCTTGATACAACTATACAACCTCGACGGATGTTCGTATTGCGTTCACAAAATTGAAGGCGTTTTGACTCCCTGCTCATACTGCCTGTAGTTGATTCGATCGACAGACGCGTTGGTCGGCGGTGACGGGGACTTGATGCCACTTTTTAAACTTGATGGATGTCCGTATCGCACCTACTGAAGTGGGAAACCACGTATCTCCATTGCGGCGTTTCAAAATTTCCGTTCTTATTTCATCTCTTCCATGAGAAACTATCCAAAGGAGGGGTATCGTTACGGGGCTTTTTTGGGCCCACCCTGAAATTCCTCAACTCCGCGATTTTTTGGTCATTGAAGGTCTATATTTTACGGAATTCATAATGGTTTGGTCATTTCCGATCTATTACAGGGTCTACCTCTGGCCTAAACATGGGTCTGAAGGCCGATTTTGGCGAAAAATGCTGGTTTTTCGGCATTCAACGCGCTGTTTCATCCCGATCCCTTCGGAGGACAAAAAAGTCCTTCAAGTATGTTCATTAGGGATGTAAGAGAGTCACTTTGGCCAATTTTCGTTGATGACAAACTCTGCGCTCATTGTTAAAAAAAACTTTTTAGAATTTTCCTGTATGTCATCATTTTTTAAAAAGGCTTAAAAAAGCGTCTCAACTTACGCCAGAGTTTAACTTTTTTGGCAATAAATGGACGTGGGTGGTCAAAACCTTCCTCAAAAAACTTTTTTCAATTCAAAGCCCCCCCCCCTAAAAGCCGGTGTTGCCATATTTCATTGCCTGAATTCACGGAAAACCTAGTATTTTAGAATTCGGAGGCTGCTCCTCGTCAAGAACATTCCGAGAGTTAAGAAACCTTTATTTTTCACACGCAGTGGCCACATTAGTAGGGATTTTATGCATGTTTTATCTTTTCATGCATTTATCTCCCGCTGTGGCGCATCACTTTTTTCTTCATCATTCCAAGAACTCGTAAGAGAATGGGTCGTCTGTAGGTGCATGATCTTAGAAAAATTAATACCGGCACATATGATCCACTTGTACCTCTCTTATATATTTATGCCATAGGCATGATCCGAAAAAAATGGCGCAAAACCACCTAAACGCGAATTTTTCTCGATTTTCACGAATAACATGTGGCAACGCTGCGCCACAGCGGGAGATAAATACATAAATAGATAAAACATGCATAAAATTCCAACTGCAACATGCAACTGCGCAATACTACCACACCGCGAACACCGCATGAGTCTTCAGACGTTGCTAAATTTCCTCTGACAAATTATGAAAAGAAATCTGTGATTATCTTCCACCAATTATTCAGAGAAGTATATTCGCAATCAGATCTAAATTATCCGAAAATTTAAAAGAAAAATATTCATAATAATAGACATTGAAACTTCGGCGAGAAGCTCGAATGTTTATACGTCGTTTTTCCATAGGACGGCAGAATACTGCCGCACTAAGGAAGAACGCCGTGTGAACATTCGAGAGTTGCCAAATTTCCTTCGATAAAATGTTCATTTTTAAGGAGAGTTATGAATATTTTTTCTTAAAATTTTCAGAAGTTTTAGATCAAACTGCAAACAAAATTATCTGAGAAATTGGAAGAAAAATATTAACAACTAGTGTTTTTTTCAAATGAAATTTGGCAACGCCTGAAGGTTCATACGACGTTTTTTCTAAGCACGGCAGAAGAGCTGCCCGAATCATGCTGATTTCACATGTAATCAGATGAAAACTCTGCCACATTTTCAGTTAAAAACTTGATAAATACAATCTAGGAGCAGGCGTTTCGCTATGTTGAAATGTAGTTCCGTACTTTTGTCCAGGCGACATTGGCGGATCCAGCAAATTGGCAACATCGTCTGTCCTCCATTTGAACCTATGGAAATGTATCGATTCTTGGGGGGGGGGGCATGTGCTCCGACAAGAATCGATTTTTTATCATAGGTTTAAATGGAGGGAATCAGGGGTTGCCAAATTGTTGCTCCTGGCGACCAAGAATCCAGTTGTCTGTAGTTCCGTGCACGGGCTCAGTGCTACGTAATCTCGAGGTATTTTTCTCATGCTTACACATTTTTGATGCGCAACCAAATCCTCAACACCTATCCTGTCACTCATGTCAGCTTACCAGGGAATTAAGTCACAATATTTGTGTGCGTTTATGCGTCTCCCGCTATCATCCCAATAAGTTTATAAAAGTCAGCAACTGCTTACTTCTTCTTCATCATATTTCGGACGATGGGACGTAACCCAATTCCAACGTTGCAAAATTATTCAAACCATTCAATTTCTCACAAGAATTTTCCAAAAATGTAGCCCGCATGCATGAAATTACATAATTTTTATTATGTTAATCTGACATACCGATACATTTTGGCAAACGCCATCATCAAACGCACATACTACAATTAACAAAACACAGTAATAAAAAACCAAAATTATGTATATAGGTTGAGAAAGAGACGAGATGTGAGAAGGAAACGACAATTAAAAAGGATAAAAATTTAAAGCAATTAAAAGTTTGTGATTTCACGCATCTAGACTAATTTTTTTGTCAAGTCATAATTAATACATGAAATAATGCAGGAATTCAAGAAAAATAACTTTCCCTCCACTGTGAAAGTAAACTTCGTGCTGCAGCATTTAAACGTCACCTTGGCTTACCATCAATGGGCATCCTACTTTTCTACTCCTGCGTTATAGTCCCCTTGTGATAGACTCGGAACGGTGCGGTGCTGTGTACCACAATGGTTACAAACCGTAGACCCTACACTGCCGTGCTATAGAGAAACGCCATATGAACCTTCAAGCGTTGCCACATTTCCTTTGATAAAACACGAATTTCCTGGTAGAAGTATGAATATTTTTCTTCCAATTTTTCAAATAATTTTGTTCCCAATTTAACCTAAAGCTCCAGAAAATCTCAAAGAAAAATGTTCATAACTTTCCTCAAAAATAAACCTTATATCGAAGGAAATTTGGCAACTCTCGGATGTTCATACAGCGTTCTTCTTTTGCACGGCAGTATACCACACAGACTTATGACATCACCTAGGCCTATCATACATGACGAGTAGAAATTCAAAACCTGGCGAGCGTCATCAGGTTATTGCTAAAGTATGCATGTTGCTCCTCAGCGTAAAGTGTCCCGTTTTCATTGGATTTCCATCAGGAAATTTTCTCTAAATTTGGTCTATTAGAAACTGATGCCCCATTATAGGCACCTGATGGCAGTTACCAGGTATTTTATTTCTGCTCTCCGTGTGAAAAAGAAAATTCACACTTCTTCAGCTTCGTGTTGCTCTCACCTGAAAATTTCAGTTTCGTATGGTTCAATAAAAAGATTCTCAGGTTTTGACGTCAGCCAGAAGCGATACTGCCGTGCTAAGGATACTGCCGTGCCGCCGTATAAACCCTCAGGCGTTGCCAAATTTCCTCCGCGATATCACG